TGTTAGATTAGTGACTTTCGTTCATGGTAACTACGGCGCCGCCACGAAGTTCTTTTGGGTGTACAGGATCGGTCGGCGTAACCTGACGGCGGCTGCTTCTGCCGTAGCCCAAGAAATGTTGAATAACTTGAGGGTGCCTTGTAAATCACCCAGAAGGCCTCTCTGACATCCACGCGATGCTCTGAGTCTGCCAGGTATGCTAGAATGGAACTGTTTATACCCTTTGGTTGGCCCTTTCCTAGCCATGTTGGAATGCGTTCTTGTACTATTTTGGATAAGCGCTGGCTCATGCGACCAATATATCCTGCCCCACAGGAGCAGGTGAATGAATAGATGCACATAGAGGTGGTCTGGGCTGGCAGTTTGTCTTTGATCTCTTTGTACAGGATGGGGGTAGTCGAGAACAGTACATGGCCATTGGCTGCTGGAAAGATGGTCGCTACAGCCTAACGGGAATTTATCGAAAACGACCTTGTGTTCGCCAGTTTATCTCCTGAAACTAACATGAGTATAAATTTGAAAAACACGATGAGTCATTGCTTGCTGGTGTTGAAAAACCAAAGCTTCCTGGTTCTACTCAAGCCTTCCTGCGTATATTCCGTCCCTTAGATTATTTATGTAGCTTAACTAGAACTTTTATCGGCACACTACCATCGGCTCCAGAACTATCTGAGTTTCCCAATTTCAGTTTCAAAGTTCAGCGGATATCGTCAAGTTCTTTTTCTAATTTCATACCTCTGCCTATTTAACGAGGTAGCTTTGTCGCCACCGGTGCGCGACTTCTGTAGGTGATTCATAGCTAGCTGTTAAAACGGACGCTGCTTGTACAATGACCGGCTTTTGTTTTTCTTCTTCTAAAGTGACACTTATGCGCACTGTTGGAAGGTATGTCTAGAAAATGGCGATAAATGCATGCTTTGCGACCTGGTGCGACGCGTGTCTGAATTAGAAATCCGCTGCTGGTCGGATACATCCTCCATAAAAAAATTATTTCATAGAGTGGATTTATTACGGCTAAATGTATGCAACCCAGAGAAGTTACCTTTAGGCGTTGTCCCGGCCCTGTTGGCACGCCTGCCTGCTTGGAAAAAGTCCAGAACTGTCAGAATGGCTTACAGTTTTCTTTTTGCGAAATTGTGATGCATTTATCATCACGTCCCCACCCTACCCTAGTTTACCAAGGAACCATCAGCGTTTGAAATTAAGATTTTAGTAGGACAGGGTTGGATGAAAGAGGAGCAGCTAAAGCCCGCTAACTGCAACTGAAACCTTTGCGCGACTGATATTCCGCAAGTTGGGCGTTTTCCTCCAAAATTAAGTGATAAATAAAGACAGTAATTCATCCTGACACATACAAAAACATGCTACGATGTCAGAAATGGGTGATATTCTAAGCCAGGTTAGTTTTTTTTATAGAAAACAAAACTGCAGTAATATCACTGAAGAAGTTTCACCCTCGTGAACCTGTGTAGTAATATATTTTCCGATCTGCAGACCAACAGAAATTCGTTACTTATTTTCCAGCTGTATGACAACGTAAACCTGTTATACGGCAATTGTCAGGGTTCATGTAAGCTCCTAGGGTCAAAATCCAGGTCATTTGTTACCACATCAGGACCACTGGTAATCATTTTGTTTTTATCACTTAGCCGTGGTTTTCATGCTGGCACCCTGATGTTTGTCTTCGTCTCAACCCTATTCTTTCTCATGCATCCTTTGTGAGTACTAGTGTTTTGCGTCAAGGGGTGCGGCAAATGCAGCTTCTCTTCCCGCGATTGCCTGCGTGCGCTTCCGGAAAATCACAGAGACTCAGTCTTTGCTGTTATTTTGGCCCTTCATTAGAGCGGTCGATACGCACTCAGCCCTGTTCATGGCTCCTAAAAACATCTTAGATTCCAAAACCACTTAAACTTACAGCTGTAATGTTTTTCCATCCCTTCTTAATGTTAAAAACCTACCCTAGGGGGTTTAACCACTCCGTTCGGTTTGGCAAAACAATAATTATTTCTTGAGTTACTGACACACCTGACATGATTGCTCTTCGCCTTTTTAATCTGTTTATTAAATGGTTACTTTTAGCATAAATCTTTCTTGCTCCAGGCGCATATCAAACTCTAGCCAATGAGTCACATTCAGACCGTCCAAAATATTTTCCTTATGCATGACAGTAGATTTAAAAACCCAAATTCCACGTCCTTATACCGGCCCCTGCAGTAGTTTTGGTTTGAAGGCGAATCTAAGATACCAGCGGAAATCGCCTGTCCGCTGTGTTTGAGTACTGCCGTGACTGCTGTTTTGTGAGCTCTCAGCGTCGTTTCAGTGTTTTCGAACATAAATTGATTTCAGAAAGTTAATTTAGGCGGACGAACGTTTTCGATTAATTCATCGTCAGGCAAATAAGGGAGGGCAGAG